AAAAAAAAGCTCATGAGCAGTACAGCAACTCATGATATTTGACAATAATTAATGTCATTTGAGATGAAATTTCAGCTCGATTCACTGTCACTGCGAATCGCCGAATCCGCCCCATTCAAAACGCACAAATATTTTCGTGTTGCTGTCCCGCAAGCTCTTACTGGTCAAACTCTTGTTGCATTCTTACAGGTCAGCCTGGCTTTTTTGCTTTTTGATCCTCAACTAGTCAGTTTTTAGTGCTAATTTGAAATCTGTACTGCCGATAGACCAAGTTTTTTACCGCAAACTGAAATTGACTTTGAGGTATGAGGCTGAAAAACGAGGAGGTTGAAATATGCTCTCAGGTCTATATCGGCGGGAAGTTTTGAGATTCAGGACTGAGGCTGATGGAAGTTCCGCACAGGAAATGAGAGGGGGAGGAATTCCAGAGGAATTTTTGGGCTGAAATCGGGATTGAAACTGTCAGAGTCAAAAACAAGGTCTCTTGGCGGGTATCGATACCAGTTTTTTTCTGAACATCGGGACCAATATTTTTTTTTGTCGAGGATTGACGTCGAGGTCTTTGACTGAGATTATAATCAACGGTTTTTGTTGAAGATTGACATCAAGGTCTTATTTATAAGGTGAAGGTCGAAAATTTTCATCGGCTCTTGTTGTCAAGGTTGTGTGAGGTTAAGGAAAGATTTTTCATTAGCAATTATCGCCGAGGTCTCTGTGAGGTCAAGGTCAAGGTTTTTCACTGGCTTTTATTGTCAAAGTCCGTATAAGGTCGAAATCAAAATTTTTTCGTCAGTCTTTAAGATATTTTGTAAGGTCAAGGCCGAGATTTTTTTTGAAAACTGAATTCAGTTCAAGAGTGTGGGTTTTTACAAGGTTCTTGGGGATTTTTTAAAGAGATTTTCGTTTTTTTGGTCCATTATGCGTGATATTTTCGGCTAAAAAGACTGACGCAAAATATGATCGATGAAAACAGTTTTCCGTTCCAATTAGTTTTATGCCAGACGCATTATTCATTTCGTTTATTTGTTAGGTATAGCTATTCACCCAACTGATTCTCGAGTCCTCTGTCGAAAATGTTCTTCATCCACCTGGTTTTTCTTTCCTGGATTTGGAGTCCTGTTTCGTTTTGGAAAAATGGCCACAAGTTCACTCAGAAATTGAACACTGGCACGCTAAAGTGTTGCGTAGTGAGCTGTTCTTTAAGTGAGTTTTTTTAAAAATTTCAAAATTTTGAAGAATGCAAAAATTGCAGGAGTTGATGGCTTTCGATGATCTCGCAGATGCATTGCATTTGGCTACGTTACTGCTGCAGCACGGTTATATTTTTCCCGTAATTGAGCACTCACTGCTTGTCAAGGATGACAACACATTGTACAGATTACAACTGCCCTATTTTTGGCCATCACATGCCACGCATACTGATAATGTCGAATATGGTAAGTAATAATACAATTATACCGATGCACATATTGAAGAGTACATTGTGTTTCATCCCTTAGCTGTAAACAGAAGTTTTTGGGATACTGAAATTTACTTTGTTTTTGGAGAATCGTAACTCCTAATTTCAGTAACATCAGACATTTCTCACATTAAATGTCAAAATAATTTTTGCTTCTTTTATGTCCTATTTGGTGAAATTTAAACTGTTGTTGCTCAATAGGTTGATGAGGTTCGACTCAGCCGGTGAAACAGTCTTTGTACGACTTGCTCATTCATTCCGATGGTAAATTGGTACTGGTATATGTCAGAGGATTAAACTTGCTGTAGGCTTGCTCATAAGTAATTCTCGGAAGAGGAGACTTTACCCGCGGGTGATTGCTGCTGGCATCTACTAGCGCTTGGGCTTTTTCCCGTTGTGCCCCCTGTCACAGAGGATGAGTGCAGAGGGGTCCTCTGACTT